ACAGCGAGTTTATTGTTCATGGTAGATAAAATTAAGCTTGCATAAAGGTTGAGCTAAGTGGTCCTGGACTACAGACTCTGTTGCCTTGACTATAACAGTACAATTTGTCATTCACTCTGCACCAGGCTAAAATGAGTAAAATCTATTTGAAGGTATCTTGTTTGTAAACATTTGTCAGATTCTAATTTTTTCTTTTTGTATTAAAATTCAACTATGGATGTATATGAAACAAAATAAATGGAGATCATTTTTCTCCCACAGACGGTGTCTTTGAATGTGCGCTAATGATTCTCTGTAAGCCGTTAAGGGGACAGGGTGGGCTGCAAGGTTAATCAAAGGCAGAACCATCCGATCGTACCTGGGTTTGTCCAGGATGGTAGTGGCCCTTTTGTAATCCCCGGCCCATTGTCATCACGTCAGAGAGAAACCTTCAGGGGTGTGCTAGTCCTGTTGCATCAGTTGGTTGGACTAGTAAAAAAGGTCGTGTGGCTCACACACATTGCCTTCATCTGTACATTATGGCACGAGGCAAATTCTCAGTCGCAGATAGCTACTTAGATGGAGGGCATTTTTTTAGATGGCATCCTCCGGTTTTGTATATCTTTGCTGGTTGGTTGAGTTGTTTGGATTCTTTCTTTTTCCCACATAAGAAAGGTAGGGTAAGCAGTAGGGTGGGAAATGGAAGCGGTGGAGGACGGTACATTTGCATGTTTCTCCTTTCCGTGTTCTAACATTACAGCTGTACCAAGGCACTGTAATAACAGCTTCTAGAACACCTGCCATGGTTGGCGTATGCAGCTTTGCAAAAATTTTACTAGATTTTGCACTAACTCATACTATCTTTGCCCCCACCACGTTTTGGAATTAATGTTTTTAAAGAGTTTCCTTCTGTTTAATATCACCCTGCTATGCAAACCCTTTCCCAGACCTTTGCTTCTTGAAAGAAAGATGTTGCTCCAGTTCCTAGTTCTTTCTTATTCCAGGCTCAGGTGTACAGGTTATTCTAGGTTAATCTTGTCTAATGAAGCCCATTGCTTTTTGTACATAAAAATGCCACTTACACTTATGCTTACAACTAGAGAGACTAATGCTCAATATGAAACATAGAAACTGTTTTTGTTAAAATATTAACATGGAAGTAATCCAATATAGGTTATTTTGTCCTTTTACTTTTGAAAAACGTTACATGTTGTATGCACTCTGCTGATGCAAGAATCCTACGTTTTAATGAATTACAAAATTATTCTGCATCTCATCACATTAGTATTTCTGTACTATTTATTCGTATAGAGAGAGATATAGATATATATGGGCTTAACCATTGAAAACTTGTTGCGGCAAGAACTTTCCTACCTGTAGGCAATAGATTGCTATGTTTTTAACAGATTGTGGTAAATTCTAAACAGCAATTCTTTTTGTACGTAATAGGACATTTCATCCTAGAAAAATAAAGTAATGTTTTTGACATTGGATTTGGTGCAGTTTCTAATGAAACAGTTGTTGGTTGGTTGGTTGGTTGATATATTTTCTGTAGTTGTTGGCATTGCCAAATTGTGCAAAAATGGCACATTTTATGGGGATCCTCTGACCAGGGAGATGTTAATTTCATATGTGTATTTAATATAAAGCCTTTTGCAATTTCTGTCACCATATATAAATACATACACATAGCCATTTTATGGTTTTTATCAACTACAGAGTTTAGTCTTCCAAAGGTAATTTTTGAAAAGCATACATTCTTATAATACAAGGAGTTTCAAAAGCTTTTTTATGAATATTCTTTGACAAGCTTCTGCTGTTCGGTAAAATATACATATTACAGCTATTTCCTTCCTCTCCCCTCCTCCACAATAATCCAGGTAGTAAAATGCTCATTTGTGATAGTTAGGATTTTTCTACCCAGTTTTTGGATTTGTAAATATATTTATTTTACATCAATAGATTTCTTTGGCTAAAGGTATTTTCAATGCTTGTTATGTTTCATCTGCCAAATTCACAATCCTTGAGACTGTTTCAGGAAAAGTATTTTCATAATATTGATAACGCTTTTTTTGCTCCTATCCAAATTCTGCAGGATTTTGTTTTAATGTTCTGCAATAGGTCGGTTTTTTAAAAAGTTGTGAACTTTTAGAGATATTTTCTAAAGTGAAAGTTACCATTTTATATATCAAGTAGCCTGGAGTGGTTTTTAGAGACACTGACAGTTGCTGTGGTTTGTAATCTACAAATAAAAGTTCTTTCCCTGTCCTTGTTCATTTCTATTCGGCAGACTCCCTGCATCTTTGTGTATTTCTGATGTTACTAAAGAGCCAACCTGGTGACCTTTCAAATCTGCACTTACAGACTGAGCGACACAGCCCTCTGTGGTCACTGCAGGACTCACTCTTCTGTGACTGAGGCTGTGAGCTGGAAGCCTCAGATTTGGAGCCCTTAAAATGAGAATGGTATCTCACAGGCAAAGTCATGCCTTATATGTACTTAGAGCCCACTGAGAAGTCTTCTTAATTTTTTTCAATCCTCACCCAAGGGTGTTTTGATTTTAGAGAAAGAGGGAGAACGAGAAACATCAATTGGTTACCTTCTATATGTACCCCGATTGGGAATCGAACCTGCAACCTTTGTGGTGTAGGGGGTGACACTCCAACCAACAGTCACCTCGCCAGGGCTATAATAATTTGAGATATTATGAGATCCTTCTATTTACTTAGAATAAAATAGCAAAAAAGGCTTTTAAATCATATCCCAATTGATCCAACTGGGACCAAATTTAGCTGAAGAAATAGGCTGTGTTTTATAATTATAAAGTCCTGTTCCTGAAATTGAATTGGTGTATTATAGGTCAGTTTTTAGGTAAAAAGCTAGTATAAAAAAAAAAGTGTATGTTACCAAAAGAAAAGTCTTTTTTCCCCTTGAACTCAGTCTCCTGTGCCCATCCCCATGCCCACCACTGCTCTAACTCATTTGAGCCTCATTCTTGTCATTGCAAAGCTGGTCTTAAATGATGGCCTTGATTTTAAGAGGAAGTCCCTAAGAAGCTGGCCTCGGTGTATGTACTAACTGGATGGCCTTCTAGCATCACGCATGGCACAGTTCTGGGACATTTTGTGTTTCCAAAACTCAGAGAAAATAGTACTATCAAATCAGTCTAATCAAACCCTAACCAGGCTCTGCAAAAGTGATTTCCCCCTCCTCCCCACTTTTAAGCCAGATCATATTTATAACAACTTTATGCTCTAACATCTGACCATCCAACCAATCATTTCTCTATCTGGCCATTGTTTTTTCCCATCGTGTTGCTCAAAACTACCACTGAGCCTTGACATTTAAAATTCAGCTTTGGTTTTTATGACGGCTGCTACTTACGTCTGAGTTCATTTTTATCCTAAAACTAGCCCAGAAGTTCCTCATTCACCACATACTTCACTGTGAACAGGCGGGATAGGAACACAGTTGGTTTTCGGCCTTTCTAGAAGGATTTGTAAGATGGTCGGGCAAGACTCACTTTGGGAAAAATTCTCTAAAAAAAAATTTTTCCCCCCAGTAATGCTTTCACCACAGATCCATAGAACCTCTCGGCCTTTATTTTACCTCTCTGCCCATGTTTGGGACAAATAAGGTAGCCGTATCTCCCATCACACTCAGATGTTATGTCTTAGGCCAGTGGTTGGCAAACTCATTGTCAACAGAGCAGCAAACCGTAGTTTGCCGACCACTCTCTAGGCTATTGCTAACTTGCTACCCTCAACTGTCTGAGGGTCCTGTCCTGGTGTCTGGCAGTGCCGCCCAGCCACTGAGCCTGTGTGCCCCTGCAGCTGCACACTTCTTGAGCTCACTACATGCATGTCCTTATGAACCAAATAGGCTGTCTCCTCTCAAGTGCAGTTCCTTTTTATCTTCCTTTAGGCAGTAATCTCAGCCATGGGTTACCAGCGTCAGTGTTTCAAATGAACTGAAGTACAGCTTGATCTTCTGGGGGTAAAATTGTTAATATTTTTGTGGGTTCAAGTAAAAATCAGTATGAAATTAGCTAGTGGTTAAACTTTTTTTTATCCCCACTGGAAAAATGTTCAAAATTCACGTGCTTGCAAGCTGTTGTTGAGTATCAGTTCTAGGGTTTGTTGAGTACGTTTGAGGGAGTTTTGGGGCTCAGTGAGGCTAAAAAAAAGAAACCCAGGTGCACCCAAGATCTGATTTCAAGGCAAGGTTTACTGCTTTACAAAACAAACATGACGTTTGGTCTTAATAGAAAAGTGACATCAGATACACCCTATGTTTAGCATTGGGATAGCTCACAGTTTCTGCACAAAACATAGGTTTTTAGGAGCAGGGAGGCATGAAAATAAGCTATCTTACACTTTGGTACATCAGAAACACTTGTCTGAGTAATATTTTGCTTGAATTAAGCCCTTTAATATTCTTTAAGTGTAGAACCTCATAACGTGTCTTGGGGCTTTGACCCATATGTTTGATCTCTATGACACCATACATGTCTTTGACTAGTGCACTTACTGTTATGTACAGAACTCAAAATGTGATGCTGTAGGTATGCCATTTGGTTTGATACGTGATATAAACTATTCAACGTTGTATATAAAATCAAGGAAATGTTTTTTTGTGTGTGTGAACGATTTCTACTGAGAATGTATTTAAATTAAAATAATTAAAAATAAACAGCATGAAGCAGTGATCTGTTAATGGGACAGGTCAGTAGCTAGGTGCATGACTAGCACTAAGAACTGCCACCAAGCTCAGAAGCAGACATTTAAGAAGCATCTTGTAAATAAGAAGGTGACGAACTTCACGATTAGAGTTGGAACTATGCAACTAGTTCATAAAAAAGAGCCATGTGCCCTATTGTAAAGGAAGGTCCCATTACAGTGGCCCTTCACACAAAACACAGGTTTTTAGGGGCAGGGATTACATGATTACATGAAGATAGACCTCTCCTGTCTTGATCAATTCCAAGTCTCTTTTGATCCAGACATGCTGGGATGGTAAGTTCAAATGCATTGGGTGTGAATTGCACCTTGAACTTGCACATCCCTTTTTCGGTTAAACCTTTTCACGTAGCTGCTGCTGCTCTGGAGCAGTCCATCTCCTGGCCGGAGCCGCCCTCTTAAGACCTGGAGCAGAGCTGTAGGGAGCTGCCGCCTCTTGTGGTAGATGTGGCCCATCACAATATACCTGCTGCCTGGGGGGAAAGGAAAAGGTATGAATTCATGGTGTCTTTTCAATGCCATGAAACACTAAGAAAATGTAAGATCCTTAAAAAACGACTAAACTTGAATCTATTGTCTTGCTCTATTATTTTGGACCTCAGACATCTGGTGGAAACAGTCTAATAATGACCTTTAGAAGAGAACCAGATAATCCACCCGTAAACACTCAACTTGAGAGAACGAGGGTCCAAATCACAATGTATCAACAGGATTTTGCCAGGGCCCATCTCTAGAAAGGCAGGGGAGAGGGTATCGGTGTCCCAATCCTCAAGAAAAGTTATAAACGCAATTTAAACAGAGCCCCTTATGAACTCTGGCAACGGTGTTTCCAATCATGCACTCAATTTGTCAACTAATACTGAGTGCCTGCTTTGTGCCAATTCCTGCTGTTCCTTTAAGCAGGGACGGGGGGGGGGGGGGGGAATGATTGTCACACCTGTCGTCCAAATTCCATTAGTCTTAGACTACCCCTCGCCCCAAAGATGCTGGAGTGGACCCCCAAAGATGCTGAAGTGAACCGAGTTGTGGCACCCACGTTCCAGGTGGTGATGTAGATAAAGGACACCTAAAAAAGTGGCCAGATCGGCTTCAGTACCGGGTTTCAACTCTGGGCATGTCTTGTTGCAGCTGGAGGAGTCCAGGGCTAAGAGGTGGACGCGGAAGAAAAAGCCGTCCGGGGTGATGTACAGGCGGTTCATCTTATACAGCCCGTCCCGGTCCACCAGCAGCGTCACCAGCTGGATGCCCGGGCCCACCACGTCCACATCGTGCACGATGCCGTTCACTGCTGCTTCAAAAAAAAAAATAATAATAACACAGAGTCTAGACAAATGCATAAGGCTCCCCGGGGCGTTTATCACAAATCAAGGCACAGTCCATACGGGCCCGGGGCCTGCGGGGCCGGGAGGGTGGGTTTCCCTGGGGGTTGGGGGTGTCCGCGCGCATCGCCGAGCGCTCTGGGCTCGGAAGGGCTCGCCGGGCGGCCGGGGGCGCGGCGGGGCGGGGGGGGCGGGCTCACCGAACTCGCTGGCGCAGAAGGACTCGCGCTCGTCCAGCTCCAGGCGGCAGGCGTGCGCGCAGGGCTCGGCGCCGGGCTCCGCGTCGCCCCGAGGCCGGTCCCGGCGCGGCGGCGGCGGCGGCGGCGGCGGCGCGGGGAGCGCGGGCGGCGCGGCGGCGCGCGCCCGGTTGGGGTGAGCCAGGCCGTCGGGGGCGCGCGCGGGCGGGCGCGCGGCGGGGAAGCGCAGGACGCGGGCGCGCGCGCGGGGCGGGGCCTCCGCGGGCGCGCGGCGCGACGACGCGCGGTTCTCCGCCTGCGGGAGGCGCGGGCTCGGCGGGCCGGCGGGCGGGCGCGCGGCCTCCCGGAAGCCGGTCGGGTTCTCGGCGGCCGGCGGGGGCTTCCGGCGCCGCGGGTCCGGCCAGGCGGGCGGAGCGGCCTCGGGGGCCGGCTGTGTCCGCGGGGCCGGCGGCTCCTCCGCGCTCGGGCCGCCGCCGCCGCCGGGGTCGGGGTCGGGGTCGGGGTTGCGGTCGCGGGGCGGCGAGGCTGTGGGGAGAGCAGAGGAGAGGCCGGCGCTGAGGGCGGGCGGCCGGCAGGGGAGGGGGACAGGCCGATGCGGAGAGCGAGGACGGGGCCCGGGAGGGGAGAGGGGAGGAGAGGGGGGGCTGTGCACACTCAGCGAGCACCTGCGAGAGGAGGCGGGGAGGCCCGGAGGCCGGGAGCGAAGGAAAGAGGAGGGAGGGCGAGAGGAAGGCGCCCGGGGAGCAGGGGAGGGAAGCCTCAGCCGCTGGTCCGCTTCCTGGGCCCCCAAGGGAGACGGGGACGAGGGTCTTGCCCTCCAAGCAGGAGGCCGGCTAAGGAAACTTCCTCCCCTCGTGGGAGCATGTCGTTTCTTTTTTTTAAGGAACCTTCCCAAATCGATAGCGTTTACAATGACAACCCCCTGTTTGTTCTCCAGGACTGAACGTAATTGACAGCTGTGGTTGGAGAGCGAACAAGCTCGTTCTGCCCTTTCTCTAACGCGCATATAAACATCCGCCTCCTGGCCGCCGACCGTGTGCTGAGAAAGTGCCGCGAGCAAACCCCAGGGGGCGAGGCCTCCTGTTGCAGGTTCTCCCCATTGTGTCAGCGCCCCTGACAACACGACTATTTGGTTTTCCCATCCGTGTTTGCACTGTCACCTCGGTCTCCAGAACCCAGCATGTGTGAGTGGATTTTTTTATCTGGCTTCTTGGACTCCCCCTGCCTGGTAAACGGCAGCTAAGAGGTTTTTAAAGCCTCGCTGTGAGGCAGAGGCCCCTGGTGAGGTACAAAAGCTCACACACACATTGCCTACAATTTCCCCTCCTTGGATGGTGGAGAAAAAAAACACAAAACAAAACCTCCTAAAAAGTTTTTAAAAAAATTATTAATGATATTCCCCAGGGCTCCAGCCAGATTGGTGAGCAAACTTCAGCCAACTTGGAAGCCGGGCAACTTTCCATGCCCAGTTACACAATGTCATCATCAGCTCCCCGTCCGCCTGGGTCCCAGCGCCCTCCCCACAGGCTGGAGGGCCCGTCTTTATGTTTCTCTGTCTCTGTCGTTTGGACCGGCTGGTTTTCAGCATTTCTCTCCTCTTGCACGGGAGAGCTTGGGTCTGCCCCGTTTGCAGCTCTTTCTTGCAACACCTCATTTAAAGTGACTTATCTTGCCAAACTGTTAATCTCCTTTGCCATCAGCTTTCCCCCAGCCCTAATAGCTGGGGATCGCTCGTGTTTTTGCAAAGAGGCTGGTTCTGACTCATCGCGGCCGCCTCGGTCCCACACACACACAGCTGAGCAAAGTCCTGGTGACGATCCAGTTCCCCACTGTCCACTGCTGACCTCCCCACTGCTCCCCGTGGCTGTCACCATCTGTCGTCATGGGAAAGATGGTCTGATAGTTGGGTTAAATCATGCCACTGAAGTCATCCGATGTGGAAAAATAGCCCAAAGTAAAAATAATAATAATTTAAAAATAAAAATAAAAAAATGCCCTGGGAGGTGCGGAAGCCCTTTTCCCAGAGATAGCGACTCCAACAAAACATCCCCCACCCCCAAAAAAAGCAAAAAAAAAAAAAAAAAGTCCTGATTTCTGCATTCCCCCGTAACTTGGGTTCATACCGCGCCTGGAATGGCGCGTTTTAAAGCTCAGGTGTGGCAGGGCCGGTCCTTGGGGCCGCGGGGAGAGGGGAGGAAGGTCGGGGTTTTGGTCTCTTCGCCCTCGGCCCCCGGGGGGCTCCCCCAGCGCCGCGATGCCCGCCCGCGGGGCGGGGGCGCAGGTCAGACCCGCGCTCTGGGGGCGCGGGGACCCCCGCGGACACCGTCCCGGCTCCGGGCTGCGGGCTGCGGGAAGGGGCAGCTGCTGAACATGCAGCGTTCCCTGCAGCCCGCCCGGCTCGCTCCAGATCATTTCGGTAGCTCAACTGGCTTCTTTCCGAAAAGGCTGCCAAGACACACAGCATCTTGGGGACCCGGACCCGGAGTCTCCTCTCCTGCAAACTCTGGCCCCTTCCTCGCCTCTCCCTTCCCCGCGCCCCCTCCCCAGCTCCCCCTCCCGCCGGGACCCATACCTCTCCCAGGGCTCAGCAGCTCGTCGATCTTACCTTTTCCCTCCGCCCCTGGGGCGTCGGGAGACGATCCGATGATCAAGCAGAGGAGCCAGAAGGCTCTAGCTGTCATCTCTGCAGACGCCGTTCCCAGGCTCTGAAAACCCAGCCAGGGCTTTCTGCTGTTTCTCTCCCCCCACCCCACCCTCCCCTGCCCCGCACCCCCACCCCCCTTCATGCTAATGAGAGGCAGCCTGTGGGGAAACGGGATCACTCACTGGACAGGCCATGGGAGCAGCAGGGAGCGGGGAGTCTTCCCCATCCTCAGGGGGACAGCACGTGGCCGCCCCCACTTGTCCCTGCGGACGTGCCTCCCGCGGCCTCCGAGCAGCGATAGCACCAGCCTCAGCCTTAAACCCTAAACCCGGGAGGTCTGCGGCCGGGCTGCGGGGAGGGGAGGGGAGGGCTGGCCAGGGGAGAGGAGAGGGTGTCAGGGGTGAGGGACAGGGTGGGGAGCCTGAGAGACAGGACGTGCTTTCTGGATGAAGTCTCCGGCCCATAGGCAGGCACATCAGCCCTCAGACAGCTCGGGCCGCGGCGGTGGGGCGGTCTCAGATGACAAAGTTGCTCGCAGAATGTGTCAGGGGTTCCAAGAGAAACAAGTCTCCACGTCCTAGGTCTGGTTAAACGATGTAACTACATATACCATGTTTGTATTCTAGAACCAGAAGGAAGAAAGCCATCCGCAAAGTAGCTGTTCTTCTTCCTCCGCACACCCCCGTGCAAACGGGCATCCAGCTGGCAGGACTCGCCCAGCCTCTCCCCCCGCCAGGTGCTGGGGGACAGAGGTGGGCAAACACCTCCCCAGGCCTCTCGTGAGGGCCCATCTCCTGGAGGAAGGGGGCTCGCTCTCGGGGCTGGATTAAGGAGCCTGTTCCTCAGAGTGCACTGAAAGGAAATTCACCGAGGGCAGAGACAGGCTCCCGTCCCAAACCCACCGCCTGCCCCGCGTGGCTCTGCCTTCTGTGGCTTCACCCCAAAAGCAAGGGGAAATGCTCTGAGATGAAGGCGTTTTCCCAGAAGCATCTGAGCCAGCACTGAGATGCAGCGGCTGGAAGAAACGGCAAACTTCTGCTGCACTGATATCTTTTTTAATTATATTTTATTGATTTTTTACAGAGAGGAAGGGAGAGAGCTAGAGAGCTAGAAACATCGATGAGAGAGAAACATCGACCAGCTGCCTCCTGCACACCCTTCACTGGGGATGTGCCCGCAACCAATGTACATGCCCTTGACCGGAATCGAACCCGGGACCCTTCAGCCCGCAGACCGACGCTCCACCACCGAGCCAAACCGGCTTCGGCTGCACTGCTATCTTGTGTCTCCGAAATAAATGGTGCGAGTGGGCTGACCGGACTCTGGGGGGGGCGAGTGTTCCAGAAAGACGCCGGAAAGCTAGGAGGAGAACAGTGGCGTGGGGAGAGGGCTGGTCTCCGCCGCATTAAGTTCTTTCCAAGGAACGCGGCATCGGCAGCCGAGACACACAGGACGTTGGTTGTCCGGTGAGAGAACCGTGGGTAAGGTCAGGAAGTGGCAAGCTTGACTTCGGTTGAGGAACATATGGCAACAGCCGAGGTCTCCAAGAAAGCCGACTGCAGGCGGGGACAGTGAGCTGCTGGCTGCGGGGGCTCTCAGGAGAGCATCCTTCAGGGGTGCTGGCGGCGGGGTCCGAACGAGGCCTGGTGTGGTTTCGGGACACAGCGCGGTACAGGTGGTCCTTGGAGAGGAGCTGCGTGCCTGGCCCCCGGCCGGCAGGATGGTGGAGGGCGTCCCCGTGTCCTGTCGTCTGGTTCTCGACTTTCCTCAGCTTGTGACCCGGAGGACGGCAATGGGCCAGATGCATGGGATTGACTCCTGTTAACCAAACTCGTGAAAAGCAGATGTATAATATAAACCTGAATGTGCAATGGAGAGCTATGGGAAAGGTGGTTCTGAGGTCTAAGGATGCATCAGACAGTTGTGGTTTTTTGTTTTTTATAAATATATTTTATTGATTTTTCACAGAGAGGAAGAGAGAGGGACAGAGAGTTAGAAACATCGATGAGAGAGAATCATCGATCAGCCGCCTCCTGCACACCCCCAACTGGGGATGTGCCCACAAACAAGGTACATGCCCTTGACTGGAATCGAACCGGAGACCCTTTAGTCCGCAGGCTGACCCTCTATCCACTGAGGCAAACCGGTTTCGGCAGAAGGTTGTGTTGTGAGCACCACATTGAATTACAGCTGGAGGCAGGCCAGTGTTCCTCACTCAGGTTTTAGGGGAGGACTCAATCTCCCCAGCCCCTGCGAGGCTTGAGAACACCAGTCAGCGTCTGCAGCCTCCGGCCGGGACCCCATAAACACGGTGACATTCTTCGTGCTTCTGGGGGCCCAGTGGAGCTATATCCTCAGCTCCCCTTCTTTCACATGTTCTTTCTCTAAGTCAAGTGAAATAAAACGAACTAGGCTTCCGCTTTCTCAGTTCCACCCACATCTCAGACATACCTGCTGGAGATGACATTCGAGTCACGCAGATGCAGTGTGGGGTGTTCCAGAAACTCCTCTGCTGCAGGAATGCTGGGAATGCCCCAGAGCCCACGCCCTGCACCCAGGGGCAGAGACCAGCTGCCTGGCTCCCAGGTGGCACGGGCCTGGAAGCGCTTGCAGGGTCCAGGGCTGGGCAGCATCTGGCTGGCAGCTTCTGAACCACACAAACGGTGGGACGCTCCAGAGCCCTGAGGCTGATCTGTGTAAGCCAGAATGGCACTTATTAATTCACAAGAAATCATGCTCATGTCGGCCTGGCTAACATTCTCTTCCTATAAACAGGCCACGGGGGAAGCCACATTAGCATCACGATGCTTGGTAAGATAAGCGAGGAGTTTGTCATATGATTGGAATGTTTAACAGTATTGGTTTCTCTTCGCCTCATGTGTCCATCTCCATAATAGGTGTGTGTGTGTGTGTGTGTGTGTGTGTGTGTGTGTGGCGGGTAGCAGATTCCAAGAGCCTTCCTCTCTCCTGCCAGTTTCTGGTGTTTTGACTATATCTTTCTGCTCAGCAAATATTTGTTGAGCGTCTACTATGGGTTGTATAAGGAAGAATGTGTGCCAGCTTCCTGGCATGGAGCTCCTGAAACCCTTGGAATTTCCCAAGTGATAGAGGTGTCTTTGTTATTCAGGAGCTTCCCTGATCGCCCCGGAGTTTATGCTAATGGGGGGACTCTTGGAGAGAGCCCTTTGATGGGAGTGGGGATCACAAAGAACAGCCATGCAATTCAGTGGTCAAGGCCCAGAGCCACCTGGGCCTCCAAGGAAGGGAGAGAGGCTGGAGATTGGGAGCACTCGGGTGGGCAGTGATTCACTCATCCTGACTGACTACCAACACACCCCAGCGCACAGTCAGGGGCGCTCGGTGAGCCCAGTGATGTGCTGGGGAGGCGCTGCGCCCTGTTCCATGCAGAGAGAACGAGGAAGCGTTGCCATTGGGCCCTCCCAGACCTCCCCGTCACTGTCTCTCCTTTGGCTGCTCCAGATCTGCATCCTTTACAAAAGAACTGTGGTCGTAAGTGCAGCACCTTCCTGGATTCTGCGGACCATTGGAGAGGACCGTCAAATCTGAGGGGGGTCGTGAGAACCCCCAGGTTTGCGGCCAGTTTTTATTTAGTTAAAATGTCATCAAAATGTCATTACAAACTCTTTGTACACGTGAAATCTCCTAACTGCGTAACACGTTCTCTTTCGAATGGTAATTTGGAATGTTTTAGGCTGCTCTCGGTTTTTGCCATTGTCAAAGTTTCTGTGTCTCCATCACCAGAGAACTGGCTGGCCCTGGAGGGACGCGGTGGAATACCGTAGAGCAGGTACTGTCGGCATTTGGGGCAGATGGTTCTTTGCTGTGCGTTGTAGGGCTTTGACCAGAATGCCCGGCCTTATCCACCGCAGACCAATAGCACCCTGCCTCCAGCTGTGCCAACCTACACTGTCCCCAAATGACTGTTGGGGGCAGATCATGACTTATATTCATTGCTAACACAGCAGTGAAAATAAATGAGCTACAATTACAAAAGCACAATAGAGATGATGACAAATAAAAAAAAGTCCAATTTCCTTTTTATAAGGTTCACAAATAGGCGAAACTAATCTATGGAGCCAAAATCTGTTTGGCTCAGTGGATAGAATGTCGGCCTGTGGACTCAAAGGTCCCAGGTTCAATTCTGGTCAAGGGCATGTACCTTGGTTGTGGGCACATCCCAGTAGGGGGCGTGCAGGAGGCAGCCAATCAGTGATTCTCTCTCATCATGGATGTTTCTAGTTCTCTCTCCTTCACTCTTCCTCTCTGAAATCAATAAAAATATTTGTATATTTTAAAAGATGTCATGTAGTTTATAAAAGCTTAAATTTATACAAGTGATGCATATTCATTCCAGAATTGCATATTACAAATAAGAAAAAATAAAAAATGTAATTCTATTTGTCTAGAAAAAACTATTATAAAAATTCTGGTGTGCATTTTCAGACTTTTTCTACACATATATGTAAATGTAAATATATGTATCATAATTTCTTTCTGTAAAAGTGGGATCATGGTATATACATATTTATTATTGATTTGAGAGAGAGGAAGGAAGAGACTGAAAGAGAGAGAAACACAGAGACAGAGACAGCAAGAAACATTGATTGGTTGCCTCCTGCACCTGCCTGACCTGGGTTGGGGGTAGAGCCTGCAGTTACCTGCCCTTGACTGGGAATCAAACCCTTGACCCTTTGGTGTGCAGGCCAACGTTCTAACCGGCCAGGGCGATGTGTGTGTGTGTTTTTTTAAATTTATTTTAATGATTTGTCAGCATCTCTCCATTTCAATAAGCAGAATTCCATAAACATTTTTATTGACTGGATTCCTAAACATTGAATTGCTGAGTCGAAGGCTATGATACTTCAGTATTTGTGCTGCGAGTTGCTGAGCAGGACCCAGACGTGCTTTATCAGTGTCCACCGAGCAGCGTTCAGCGCAGGCCTGCACCAATGCCTCTTTCCCACGTTGGGATAGGAAACGTCAGTATTTGAGATCCTTGCTGTTCTGAAGAGGGTT